ACAAAAAAAAAAAAAAACGAATGAACACATACTACTATAATAAGAATATAAAATTTTTTGCCAATGGTTTTTATGTTGATAAGTTTCTTGGCTTGATACTCGAGAAAAGAAAAAAAAATTGATAATGAAGATGGAGGAATCTAACCAACTGAAATTACTTAAATGTGTATGGCCATTATAGTTTATATGTATGAATTCTAATTTAAAACGTATCAACATTTTTGTCAAAAACTATGAACTAAATAACAACTTAAGAACGTAGGTGACAATTAAAGTTTATATGTCCAAACACTAAAGATTTATCGTATGAACAAATTCAAAAAATTACAAATGCTCTGAGCTTTGCATAAATAAAATTAACAAATTGCGTATGAACAACAAATATTCTATGTATAAATTTTAAACCAGATACGTGTAAACCTTTACATAAAAATTCATATGATCATGACATGAAAGTTCCATATAAAAAAAAAAAGTCAAAATTTTATATGCTCAAAAAAAATGACGAATAATATCCAGCTTTTGTTTGAGGCAAAAAATAATGTATGAGAAAAAAATGAAGTAATCATTACATTAATGATCCGATCCATACTAAAATATGATTAAAAATCTCTACTTAATATTATTTACTAATTAATAAATTTATCAGATTATAAACAACGATAAATAAATATATGAACAATGGGTTATGAATGAAAATGAAAACAAAAGTTTAGAATTAAAGAAAACGAAACAAAACAAGTTAATCAAAACTACCCCAAATGGCAAGAAGGAAAAGAAGAAGAAAGAAAGAATCCAACCTTTTTTTTGTCCTTGTTAATTGAATCCGACAACATTTAGACAAGAGTAGCTAAAATAACTTAGACGTGATAATGGAAAGATTTTATTTCGTCAAGTTCATCAGCTCTAAATAATAGAGTTTGAGTTTATATAAGAGAGGAAGGTTTTGGGAATTTTGGATGAATTTAATCATCTGGAATTAATTTGAATCATAGATGAAAATTAAAATAAAAAAATTCTTTTTTTTCCTCCTTAAAACTAATTTCCTAATTTTTCTCTTTTCCTAGTTTCCTGCAGCACGTGAAAGCAAACAGATTAGAGACCATGGTCTATATTACAATAAGGACCATGGTCTACCATATAAGAATTGAAACAAATTTTCTAGAACACTTAGGGGTGAAATTGTTTATGATACGTATATATAATACTAGGTGTTAGACCCGTCCGATGGACGGGGAAGGCATACACATTAGACATTTTTACATAAATTTTGTATTTTTATAAAATATGTAATGAATTCAGTTTTAAACATGATTACCTCTGGATTTACAGGAATTTATTTATTTTTACATGACATTTTAAATTCACTGGTGATAAGGTTTATGCAGATCTCTCTAAAATTTATTAGGATTTGGTACTCTCTCTAATCAATCTCTGTGTTAGGATTTTGTTCATGAAAATAAGGGTTCGGTTTTTATTATTTTATTTTTTTAAAAATTATTTTAGTTGATTTTTTTATTATTATTTTGTTTTGTGCATTTTTAAGTCTAAGAAATTAAGAAAATGCCACATAGGATCATGTGCTCCATGCCTTTAGTTTTCTCTCTCTGGTTTTTGCCTTAGTATAGTATATAGAAGATAGATAGATAGATATAGATTATGGTAGTTTAATGTTTTGTCCTTAACAAAAAAACACCAAAAAAGAAAAAAAAAATTAATTGGGATTTTGTGGTGACCTAATCTGGAATATGCCAAAACTTTAGTGGTCAAAAATGAATTTTGTCCGTTTTAAGCAGTTAGTGCTCAGCAATCCAATTGAGATTCTTCGGGAAGGAAAAGAAGGAAAAACAGAAGCTTTCATATTGATCAGATATCTGAGCAGAGCCGGCCGGAAATATGATTCACCGTAAGTGGAGTTTGTTGACTGGCCCTGCCGCCATATTGGGCGGCGTCGTTGGCAGCGTGGTTGTTGCTCACTTTCTTTTGGTCCAAAAGGTTAGTTTTCTACTGTCAAAATTTATGCCCCAATTGTTTTTCCGGAGTTTTGTTTGTTCTGTTTCAGTTGTTGGCCTATAGGAGTTGTTCGATTGAATTTTTTTCTGTGTGATGTAAATTTGATCAGTTTGTTGTTGGTCTTCTTCGATTTCCCGATATTTTTCCCTGTATTTATTTGATGGATCGGAGAGAAAAAAGATAAAAAGATCTGAACTTTGGGAATTTGTTGCAGTCATCTGTGCTTTTGTGTATCAATTTCCGACACACAGCCAAATACAAATAACCCGATTAGGGTTTGTCCTCTAATTAACTTAAAATTCATCATCCAATCGACGCGTCCTTAGCAACCGTTTGAATTCTATCCTAGCAGTAATTTTATGAAGATGGTTCTGTCTGTTGTCTCTTAGCTTTGTGTGCCTTTTCATGGAGCTCAATCGCTTTATGTTTGAATAATATTCGTGTTTGTTGTTCTGGGTAGGAATTGATTACCTTTTTCATTTGAGTATATTTGAGCTTGAAAGCATGTTACTTATTCATACCCTTCTTGCGTTACTCCCTTGCCTAAACTATTTTCCTTTTCTTTTACATGAACTTAAGGAATCACCGTGAATTCATGGAAAATTCTTGCAAGTTTGATTCCTTTATAAAGAAATGTTCTGTTCTGTCCCTAATGCACTTGATTTCGTGGTTGAACATTTTCTAATGGGAAGAGTTTCCGCATAGTGCCATGTAATATTTTGAATTGTGAAGCCACACAAGGTTGGATGAAGTGAACAAAAACCTGTGACCTAAAGTAGCATTTAAACAATCTGATATGAAAGCTATAAGTGGACTTGGCTGTTTTCATCTTATGATGTGATCTTAAATGGATGCAGAGGATCAACTTGAAATACTCTACTGGTTATATGCTTTCTGATTAAATGTATGTTCTTCGTAACACAATGAGCGGAATAGAGAGCACCTGAAATCAGGGCAAAACAGAAATGCTGACACGTTCTGTCTCAAATGAACTGAGTTTTATTTAGGACCATAGAATTATAATGAACAATTTACACATGTATCCACAACCTGTTGCACTTTCCTCTTGGTGCATTCCAGTTTCCTCTTCACTTTGAGTTGAAGGCTTTGATTTGTTATTTTTGGATCCCATGTTTCTGTTTTTTATGGTTCAACTTTAATGTAAAATGAAGTTTCTTTCGACAGTTGTCTTCGACAGATTTGATTAGATTCAATGTCATTTTTAGTCTTCATGGACTTTTTAGTATGATCATAGTTTGCTTCATCCATTTTATGCTTACTTCTTTTTGGCAATGCAGGACCAATCCCTGAAAACTGATCTGAGGAAAAATGAAACTGCGCCATTATCCAAGTGAAAGGAGAGGAGAAACTTCTCGTGTTTGTGATTTGGGGTGTTGCGTTGTCTTTATTTACTAGTTAAGGGAATAACATACATTGTGGGTAGTGGTCTTTAGGAGTCATCCACTCAGATACGCATAATATTTTGTTCTTACTATTTGAAGCGCACCAATGTGTTACCTTTTTACTTTGCGGCTTTCCTTCAATGGTTAAGTGTTCAAAACATTGAAAACAAGTAACAAATTCTTTGAAGTAGCAATGCATGCGGTGAATAGCTATCTTTGTGTTATCAATTCATTATGGCATTCAATTCCGTAAAATGAATCGCACGTTTTTCTTCTTGCCGGTTATTTTATTTATTTATTTATTTTTTTAATGAAGAAAAACAATTTTCCCGTTGGATTTGGAATAGCTAATCTTGTCAGAATTGTTTTCCATATAATGATCACAGGATAGTGTGTGGACATATCCTTACAGTGATAAAGGCTATTAATTTGTGGAATTGATTCTGTCAGGATAAATTATAAATCCTAACAGGTTGCAAGATGCTCCTGTAGCTGTTGACCTCTCTTGAATATGTGGAGGTATTGGGCTTTGGAAGTATAACTAGGAATGCAGAGAATTCTCCCGAGTCATTTAGTTCCCTGTAGACTTCCACCATCAAACCTGTAAGGTTTTTTGCACTTCCAGGTCCCCGGTAGGATTGTGTGAAATCTCCAAGGCATTGTTTTCCGTCTTTTGTCATGGTTCTTAGCAGTATTCGAACTTGAATGAGATTTTATAGTTTAGAATGTCGTAAGTCTCCCACCCCATCATGAATAACAGCTACTGGATCCTGCTTTCTTGGCAAATGTATTAACTTCTACGAGGCTAGTAAGACCAAGCTGGACGGCTATGTTACCAAATTCTCTTTTCTTTCTCCTTACAAGCTCAGCAATTTCGTTTTCCTTACTGATTACAAAGTCTTAATCAATTTTGGTTTGCCAATGAGCGCTACAGCCGAACTTAGATTCACGCAATTTTGCACCAATTACACAAACAGAATGTCTTGTGTTTGTGAGAAGTCTGAGTTAACATTGAATTGACTCTCAAGGAAAGGAATTGAATCCAGCAGTTTGTGAAGCACTGACCGACTTGATTGAGGCTTGCCGGAAGCACTTTTGCAGGAAAAAAATGGAGAATGAATCCCACCGAATATCAAACTATTGACTTTCTCATTTTCTACATCTATATAAAATCCCACAAAAATCATGTTTATTGAAAGGTTGTAATTCAACAAAAACGAATTTAGAGAGGTTACGAGTTCTTGACTTCTTATGTGCTTCTTTCCTTCTACCGTTTTTCAGGGCTGAGGGATAAGAAACAAAGAATTCTTAGTCACCAAAAGACTTAAAATTGCATAACTATATCTATTGACTACTACTGGTTTCTCATTGTCTACTACTCGTAGTTTTGAAATACATAAGACACACACACACACACACACACACACACACACATATATACTCTCTCTGTCGAACTTTATTAATTCACTTTATATAGTTTTATAATTCCATAAAGAAAACTATTCTTCTTTATCGGATGGAGTATAAATTATTAATGAGATGGTCTTATCAAGACTCATGTCTTCAAAATTCAATTAGGACGCAGACAAATTCAATAACAGTTACTCGGGTAGGAGTTGGGAGACAGAGATGGGAAATTTTGCTTTCTAGAGGTATATTAGAATGGAGAGATTGTATAATTTACTTCTACAAAAAAAAATTCATACCGGCCACAACACTGTACGGGAAATATATACATTTGCTGCAAAGGAGATATTAGCCCCATTAAACCACAGGCTATCTAAAGCAGCAAGGGTATTACATCAAAACAGCTAGCTACTATGCGAAGATTGTCAAAGGAACCAGAGCTCTAGTCTCGTTCAATGGCACAACAGATTTTCAACAGGCAACAGGGAAAAGAACTAGGATGCCCTAGAGCAGCCTTCATAGCAATTATTATTAAATCTTATGCATCCTTTCCTCCCCAATGATCCATCGTGTTACCTGACTTGGATCAACAGCCAAAGCTTTGCATGAGTTTGGAATAATCCCAAGATCTGCGCCAACTTGCTCATACTCCTTGAGAGCAGCTTCCATCTCTGTTTCAGCAGCTGCATCATCCATGGTCTCAACCTTGCCCTTGCCAAGGAGGTCAGCATAATACTTTTCCTTCTCGATGTCATCTCCAAAGGGCTCCATGGCAGGGCCCTGCAATATTCAACATTTAAGGGATTGAAAAGACAGGTAGATGTCATGAATTGCATGACCTCAGCAGACTCCAGGGATTAATGTTATCCCTTTGACAGAACCATGATATCGAACGGGACAGATTTTGGAACTGGTTTAACCAATAAGAGACAAGTAACAATGCTCGCCCAGCAGTTTTCATGGTGTTTATGGCTATGAATGGCACATGTAGTGAATGACAGACTTATTTTGTCACGTGTTACACAAACATATAATGTTCAATGCATAAGAACGGTAGTCAAGAATATGACTTCAAATTGTCTGCCTCTAAGCATTTCTGACTAACGTAAGAGTTCTTAGCTTATACCTGAATAAGTTCAGCATAGTGTTGATAGATCTCGCTGTTCTCATCCAGATCACCAAGCAATGTGCCCCCATACCAGCCATTTGCCTCATTCACCGATGTCATAGCAAAATAACTGCAGAATATTACAGTTAAACCGCTCAGCTCTCCCAACTAAGTTCTAAGATCTCATAAACTTTTGAACAAAGAGGAGAAGTTTCTCTGACGGCAGCATAAATCCACCAATTGATACAGTACACAACATTATTTCATCAGTGGATTAACAGCTCCTCCACCTGGCTTACTACAGAAATTGTAAAACCAGGCACTCTAAAAATTTATGTATACTATTAACATGTTTACAGCAACATCAGAGCTATCCACTATCAGAAATGCATATTTTGTATCAGCAGAAATGTAATACAACGTTCACGAGGTAGAGAACAGTTCAGCCACACTAAAAGTGATTATCTGAAAGAACTACAGCATTGGCAACAAGGAAAAAAACTCTCTTCCTTCAGGAGAATAAACAGACTAAAAAAGGGAATTGAATGACAGCCAAGTGGTTAGGGTGTTATCTTTCCTGGAAATAGACCAGGGTTCAATTCCCACCAGGGTTTGTAAGGGGGGGTTTAGGAAAAAAACAAGAAAAAAAGGCTAGAAAATTATAGCAAGGCTTTGGCCAAGCCTATGAGATTTGCAATCCAGAGAGCTTTCCACCTGTTAAACAAAGGTAGAACAAGCTGGACAATAAGACATAACATCAATGCAAATAAAATTTCTACCTTTGAAATAAGTCTTCATCATTCGTCTCAGGCATTGGGGTTAGCCAACTTAGGTCAGATAACGCATCAACTCGCTTTTTCTCACTAGACTCCCCATTTGCAACCTCATAAGCAGCCGCCTTCGGAGCAGAGGTAGTATCATATTTCCTTTGTCCAAATAGCCAATTTGGGCTCTTGAGCTGTATTTCACTGCAATGGTAGTATTTTTAGCACAGTGTGCGAACAAAAGATAATTTACTTAAAGGTCACTGACTGGCTCAAACATTAATTCATCAATTTAAGGATAGTTTCCAGCATAAAGTTTAGCAGCCAGATCAGAAAATGAGTCAAAATTTCATGTGAACTTCTTGTTTGATAGTGCCTGTTTTAAATGAGTAAAAAATAGTGCTCCAACCGAACATAAATCAAGTGCCCACAGAAATTAATTTAAGTAACTGAAAAAGTTAACAAAAGGATCAAATACATCTAAACATGGGCCATCTAAAGTTTAAGAAAGACCTATTGTTCATTATAAAATTATCCAATTTACCAACTGACATTATTGTTCATTATAAAATCAGACATCCCTAATAAGTAACATGGTTGCAGTACAAGGGTTGGATGTGATGAGGTTCAGGTATTTCAAGATAGTTACTTTGAAGGTGCGGGGCCACCAAAAAAGATCCGAGTCAAACTAAGGACTGTTGCTTCTAGATCTATACAACCATTATCCACTATCATTAATCGAAGTTCTACTTGAGATGCACATACACTCACTATACTTATAATTTTATTTCTGGATGAAAACTTTAAGAGCAGTCATTATGTCCTTTTTCCAGCAGTCATTCTGTCCTTTTCCACTGCATTAAAAGATATCATGTATCTAATTCGCTTACTAGCCCACTGTTTTTTTGAAGACACCTAAAATTTATACATCTCCTCATAATATCTACAAAGCCCCATGTTGAAATAACCATTCTTGTTTCGCACTAAGAGCAAACCCTCGTGAAGGTGCAGCAGCCTTTGCCAAGCTTTGTCTATAGCTTGACTCTACGATAGGGTCTCTAACACAAGAAGCTTCCTAAAACTTGTATTTCCTATACCCCTCCATTCACAAATAGATGTCGTTGGAGGAAAAACCAAATATTCCAAAATAGATGTCCTCACAAATCGAGGCATATTTTGTCAATTTTTTTCAATATTACCCTTACATTGAAAATTGTAGTAATGTTTAATGTAGAATTGTATTAGAACTGAATTTTATTGGGACTACAATTGAATTAAGAATAAATGAGGGTATTATAGTATTTTAACAAGATAATTATTGCCTCCTTAAACTTTGTGAAATCTCTCCAGGGACATCTATTTGTAAATGGAGGGAGTATGATCCAAACGATGAAGCACAGCGCAAGTTTAAATTTAGCTGCGAATTTAATTGGATCCTCTACTCTGAGGTCAGAGATGTAGGTTCAAACCCAGCTGCTTATAATGAAATGACTTAAAACTCAAGAGGTCAATATATGGCAAAGTTTGAACCATGTCGACCTGTAATCTGCACCAGGGTCAGCTCATCTTGACATGGTACTATACAAAATAATGGCAAGTTAAAATCAAGAAGTCAATAGATCTGTCAGTTGGACTGTTGTTCTAACATGTAACCTGCACCCACCTCCACTCAGGTTGACATAGACTGATGATGTAACAGGGGTACACACGATTTTATTTCCCAACTAGTTCTGGAGATTGATCTGGATCTGACTAACTAATGGATAGAAGTCACAAATCTACTACACTGTTAGAATAGTGATAAGGTAGTGTAGCTTATTAATTAACCACAGGCAGCCAAAAAGATGAAACAACAAAAACAAAAACCTCTCTTCCTATAGCGATAAGCTATAAGTTTCTGACAAACACAATCCTATTATCAAATCAACATAGTTTAACGGGAACTTGAACTGTTCATAATATTTACAGTCAACTACATTATTCAGTAATTAACAGACATATAATTTATGCACTTCCCTCAACATAAAGTAGGCCTTCAGGGTTTACTTCCCAGAGACAAATGAACAAGAGGAAAGCAGACAGCACTCTAAAGCAACATCAATTAGACAAAATTTTAAAATAGGAAAAAACTCAATCCCACCAAGGATGAATGGAATGCAGCATGGTGGTTAAAATGTTGTGTTTCCTGGGAGTAGACCTGGTCCAATTACCACCAAGGGTATGTAGGGGGATTTTCCCACATGAGGGGCCCACAGTGGTGCCCACAGAATTTCATAGGAAAACAAACGAGTGACGCCACATATTAGAATGGAAGTGTGTGCAAAGCATTTATAAATAACTACCAGTAAATGCCAAGACAATGGGTAATAAACAAATAAATGTGAAAATTAACATAACACAAATGTAACTAACCCTGCATTCTGCTAAAGAAAAATTGCAACTCATCTACGTGATTATGAAGAGAATTTCAAGTATCAGAAAGAAAAAAGGAAAAATTTTTAAGTGCTCTATTTATATTTATGAGTATTTCGCATAAGATAAGATACAGAGAATTCAAAGCAAGTTGAAGTATAAGTAATTACGCTGCATCAGGAGCCACCCCAAAACTTCCAGTTTTCTGATCCGTGTCACCACATAGTCGAACATTCCTTATTGAGCTGCAAGTTCTTTCAATCAATTTATCAAGAGATGTCAATTTTAAACGTGAGAAGTCCTCCCTACAAGCTGGAATGGGTTCAAGCTTACTGCCCTTGGCTCCATTATTATCTTCAGAGAGGGAACTGCCAATAACAAGTACAAACAATCACCATCAACAAAACTATTTTTAATGAAAGAATAAAAAAAAGAAACAGCTGGACATTGTCTGTTATGCAAGCGAAATGGCCACTAGCTAATTGAGTGGTTTGGATGTTACCCTTTTCCATTTGAACTAGTGATGTCTCTATATGCTTCAACAGTTCATCATCAAGGTCCCATTAATTTTCTTTTACTAATCCAAAGAACTTAGATCCTTTAAATGAAAGCACGTGAACAATGCTGTCCCAGGAACTAGGAAAATGCAAAAGCTTCAAAAAGCTATTGAAGCACGTATCAAGCTAGCAAAAATACACAAACACCCCCGCCACAACTGTTTTTATAGGCAAAGAACAAGCAAACCCTTCAAGCATTTTTTTGTTTAAGAAGAACAGCTGACTCTCAATTAGCAGACCCAAGAATGTCAGAGTGTTAGCTGATATACAAGTAAAAGAACCATAACAGATCATAAATTTGCTGGAGATTGTTTTAGTCACACTAGCAAGGTGGTATAGTTACCAAACAAAATATGAGGAAAGCGGCAGCGCTAGTATATTAGGATCACATTACCTCTTCTCAAGGTCATCTCCAATACCAGACACGTGTAGATAGTAATCAGAATCCAACTCCCACAGTGCAGGTTTCCCTTCTTGAGGCTGGAAGTAGCCCAAGAATCTGAAACATTGACCAAATAGAATGAACCTCAAGAGTAATACCCACCAATTTTGCAATTAACTACCATCAAACCAGCTCCAAAAAGAAACAAAAAACATAATACAAATTAGAAACCAAAAGATCAAACTTTACAAATTTATGGCATCCTGTTTTTCTCCATCAGTATAAGCATTGCTGTAGTATCTCTTAATAGACTTCAGAAACTCCCTCGACTGAGTAGTAGCTTTCCACTTGCCCTGCCTCTCAGGGAAGACCTGGAAATAAAGCAGATGAAACATATTACTGCTTTGAGTTGAATCCACGAACATATACAAATAAAATATGCATACCGTGTTGTGAGCCGCAGACCCACCATACTGCTGAGCAAGGGCATCACCCATGCTCTGATACATATCCATAAGAGCTGCAGCAATACTACTGTCGGCATCCACTTTAGGGTTATCCGTCAAACCCATGGCATGGAGTTGGCGACCTAGAGCTGCCAGACCATATGCATATTGAGCAACATTTGTTCGGTCCAAGCAGTCAATGCAGTTGGTGCGCAGTACGCCACTTTGAAGCCGGGGTGCTGTACGGCTGTCAGTGTCTTTTCCGATGTGCTGGTTATAGTCGTTTTCTTGTTTTGTTAATGAAGCCAAGGTTTCACTACAACTATTAATCCTTGCAAGATCACCTGAGGAGGATCTTAAATCTGTGAATGAAGACTCCCTGAGGAAACAACCACAAAGCAGCTGAGTAAAGAATTCACACCATTATGAAATAAAAGGTGAAGGTAGCTATACAGGCAAAAAAATATCGCAAGAACCAAGAGGGAAAGAAAACACAATCCAAAAATACACACTACCAGAAAATGGATCAAACTAGAAAGTTTAACATCTTTTATGAGAGACGGCATACAGTAGACCCATACAAGGTTAGAAATTCCTAACTGAAGTCTTAACAACCTACTCAGAAGCAATCAAAAGATGAAAAATTTCTTTACAAATGAATCCCCCAGAAGCAACAATCGTAGATTCTTCAGTACCAAGGGAACACAGGGTAAACAATACTTTGAAAAAAAAGGTTCAAGGGTTACCAGCCTTATCAAACCCCTTAATCAACATGTAATCACCACAGCAGGACTGGGTATGTACTTGCTCAAATTCCTTAATAATCATACTAGTATGATTCTGTGTGGTCCACAGTCAATCAGTGAAGTAATAAGTGAAAAAAAATAATTAGAAAAAAAAACCCATTTTTTGAGCTGTATCATAGAAGTCATGAATAGTAGTTTTAGAAATGTGGAATCCTGTTTTGAGATCAATAAAGTAACTTTTACACATTAATTCAACTCCCAAGGCCTGAACAACAATTTGTGCAACGGGATGTCTTTAGCCAGACATAAAGAGAACATAATACACACGGACAAGAAAGATGCAAGGCACTGTTCATTTCCTTGCTCTAAAACCTTAAAGAAACATGTAGCTAAGAAAGAATGTAAAACTGAAAACAACATACTCAAGAAGAAAGTCATTACAAAGAAACAAAGAATAAGGAAAATGTACGAATAGAAAACTTTGTTATATAATCACGATCTGGGCTCTCACGAAGCGTAACAATACTGACTACTGAGACACTGAACTTTAACTGATAAAGAAATCATTTCTGTAGCAGTTTTTACTTAACAGAGAAACCTATGTTCGTCCAAGTAAAAGAGGTGTTACAGTTTTAAACTAATCTAACAATTTACTACGATTCCAAGAACAAGCATAACATAGTAGTTTGACAAAAGCATTTCCTATATCAGTCAATTCAAGGAATTTGACAACAAAATCTGAGTAATTTTAGATCTGCAAAAACATAAAAGCCTCTCCTGATATAATTCCAGGATCACAAATATCAACAAATAGTCCAAATCAAACTATACAATAACTCGAGCTAGGAAAAATTCCAATAATGGAATGAACAACAACCAAGTACACAAAAACAAATTAGAGTAGTTCATAAGATAAATCACAAATGCCAAAGTTTCAGCAGAACCTGGTAAACAAGATATACCTTGCGGTGCTAGTGCGGCTCAGTTGGTGAGCCCGTTTCTTAACAACTGAAGGCTTTCCACTGTAGTAAAACCCAGTTAAATCAAGCGCTTCACTGGCCACACCACCCAAAACCGCCAGGACGTTGGCAGACTTGCTTCAGAACCAAAGGAAAGTACTTATCAATATTCAGTAGTAGGTAGATTCCTGATTGTACAGAAAAAATAAATAAATAAAAAAAATAGACCCACCTCTTAGCAAACTTGTGAAAGTCCCAGTGGATAAACCTTAGATGGTTTTCCTCTGGAAGAATTTGGTTCAGATATCCGACTGCATTAGCAAATTCACGCCTTAGCATCATCTCCCGAGGTCTTTTTTCAACAGTCTGCAATTTAAAAAGCATTGGAACAACACAAATCATAGCATACACAACAACTTAGCCTTTACCCAACTATGGCTACAGGTATCATACATCGCAACATATAACCTAGCATATTGAAATGTTAAACAAGTATGACTTGCAATAGACATGCAACTTAATTCTTTTAAAGATATGACGGCATTCAAACTAGCAACTCAAAATCTGATATCTATCAATTTCTTTTCAATATTCACCCAGCACCAACCTTGGGAACTGACAAAATCAAATAGAAAAGAAATCTTTGAAGCAATGGCATAAGTGAGTAGTACACTCCAGGTTAATCCAAAATACAACCATCAATCAGCAAATCGATAAGAAAATTAGCACAACAAATGACATAGATATGAATACGAAGAATTGAAGACTCAGTATGTACTAGTGGCACAAACCTTAATCAGATTTAGTACAATAATTGGATTGCCGTATCTCCTTTCCAGGTCTTCAAAATGCATTTTGGTGGCCTCGTAGGTAGGGTCGTACCTTTGCACTGACCAAAAGAAAATTCAAACATCAACACGGGAAAGAAAGTTATGTGCTACCAGCACAAGAATCAACAAACGGACACGTTGAATTTGAATAAGTGATTTTGATCTTGATCTAAAACAACCATTTCACATTTCTTACATATAATATCAGGTTTTGGGCTGAATCTTGACGCTTCCTGTGACCAGAAGAGTGGAATTGAACCCCTCATTTGGATAACAGAACTCATCTTCCCTTTGCAAGACCCAGCCTCTTCATCAAGGACAATTTGTTCTGTTTCAACATCATTTGCAACTCTTCCATGATCATTGACTCCCCTTTTCAAATAACTGCAACAATTATGGTCAATAAGAACTTGATGCCCTAAATAATCTAATGAATACATTGGCTTTGAACAAGTTGTATCCATCAATAAGTTAAAATGCAGTCCGCACTAACTAAAAAGTCAGAATTTGCTCCACTGAACAAGGTGATCTTGAAGATCTACACAAAAACACCTACTGAAATATTTTGACACTTTCTCGGATTCCGTGAATGCCATTAACTTTAAGTTCAAGCTCTCAAACTGGACAGGATGTTTCTGTACTTTGCCCAATGAAATACAAAAGCCAGTAGAGTCTGTAAGCTACGTAAAACGATATTTATTCATTAAAAAAAAAAAAAAAAAAAAACCCACCCAGTTGGAGCTTGAGGATGGTAGATATAATAACTTTTCAATCTAAACAAAGCCACTAGTAAATGATGAGTAACGTTCTGTTGTATGAGTGTTAGATATTCTCATCAAGAAACCCTAGTGGCAAACACAACTAGTAGCATTTAACTGAGATTCTACTCTAGAATCAGACATGACGAAAGGGAAAAATATCTATATCTTATCGAATTTGCTACACTTTATTCAGCAAACAGTTACAAGAGAATCCTGAGAACCCCCACAAATGAGAGTAGAACAGGCTATTCTAAAAACACGAAATGAGCCCAAAGAAAAAAGTTCTGTTGACATAAAAGCTCCTGATACTGAAATAAGCAAGAAGCAAGCTGTGCATACAAACGGAACACTTCAGCTTTAAAATTGAATGACTTCGCTGGTTAATTCCATCATCTTTCGATTCACTTTATCATGAAATGCACTCAAAATGTGACCAACTATCCTAAGCGCTACTAAAAGAGAGAAATAATAAAAAAAGAAACATAAATTTTTTTTTTTTAAAAAAAAGGAAACCAAAAGAGCAACAACAAAAACAATTCTGGGCCTCTATCTAAGAATCTACTACCAACCACTCATCACCATAAACCCTTGTGATACTCAACCTATTCAAACAATACACATGGCAGAAAAAGTAGCATCCAAATCTAGATCAAACTGGTAACTGCTAAAACACATATTGTCTGAGAATCTAGCAACAACCTCTTCATCATTGACAACATAAATACTTCATTCTACATCTTCGCACCTTCATTACAAGAAGAAATAAAGCAGAGATGACAACATGTAGGCCTTACCGAGTTCCTGCAAAATGCCTGGAGCGTCTAGAAATCAAGGTAACACTGAAGTCCCTTCCAAATATTGACAGCCTGGTCTGCAATTGTCAAAGATAACAGTATTACTCATATGCTCTATTGTAAAATCAATGACTTTGTACACAAACCTTACTCATAAAATGATTATTCACATAAAAACCAAAAAGAAACCACCAAATCAAAAGGAAGGGGCTGCATAATAGCTGTAGGACAATTTGCGGGGGCTTGGGAGAATGAGAATATATATACCTTTGGAGAAACAACAAAAGAGAGTAGCAGAAAAAATTGTTTGAAATCGAGTCAAACTTGAAGGGATTTAGCAATTTCAAACATATGCAATAAAATATTTAGCCCATCCCACAGTTGGAGAAAGGCTTCTTGTTGCATGTTTGTTATCTCCCGAATAAGAGTTAACCTTTTTCCACGTAAAAGCAAAACAAACATGACCAAAGTGAATACCATGATTTCGTTTTTAAGAAGCATACGAAACAATTCTTTAGCAAAGCTACACCGCAAATACAGATAATTACATCGACAGCAAAAACACTCCAACTGATATTCAGTAAAACAATGAATATAAATATGCAGTAATGTAAACAATACTCACATATCATGGTGCAATACAATAGACTATGTCTAATACTTGCAAAGTTAAACAAGAAAAATTTCCTTACATTTACTAAGAAAAAAATAAACAATTACCAATAGACAGTACTGAATTTATCAGGATTTTGTGGGTCCAATATGCAGCAAGTTTAAATCAAATCCTACTCCAGGCCCTACAACCTCAGGAGAACCCAAAGTAGCACTGAAGCTGTAATATGGTATACCCTAAAATAATATTAGATATTTATTGCTTAGAGTGTTAGTCTTCTAAATAATCCTGCTACAGTCCCCAAACATGTACAAATGGTTGCAAAATATTTGGGATGCAAGCTAGAAATCTGCAGTCCATCATATATTACCCAAAATTTAGTTAATGAAATATACCTTACTGATTCAAGAAACTAAAAACAGACAAAAATTCTTAGAGCAGCCAAATGCAAAAACAGATGCATTGATAGTAATAGTAACAACAACAACAACAACAACAACAACAACAACAACAATAATAATAACAATAATAATAATAATAATCGGCTTGTTCCTCAACAAGTAATTCCATATTTATATAATGAATGTCATCTTGATATCTTCCAGGAAACAGAATGTAAGTCAATCAATGACATCCTCAAAGATCCCAATATTCCTTTGAATTAGAAATATCCACCATGTGAACAAACGACAAGACCTACTTCCTTATTCTATATAACGTTCAGCTTAGAAATAGGTTGTCATGGTCTATACTCTACCATTTGACCAGCAATTGAACATACGAAATGATTAATGCACAGCTGACTCAGGATAAATGCACATCAAGAGGTAACACAGTTGTGACACACACCAAAAAAAGAAAAGGTGTCAAGTTCAATTAACAACAAACCATAGCATCAGTCACAACTTTCCCAGGACAAAGGAATTTCAAGAAGCTCAAAAATAGAAATGAAACCAGTATGCAAATAAAGATCAACTAACTTGCAAAAGGTGAATAATAAATACTGGAAATGATTGACACCTGCTTAAAATGACCATGAACCAAAGCAACCGTCCACATGGTGTTATTGCATCTTGATCGAATAGGCTGTGTGAGAAAAGCATTCCATACAAATATGTCTTCATAAGGCATCCCTTTGTCAGTGGTTGAGAACACATTTTTCTGCAAACTTTGCATAATTGGGTATGTATAACTATAGAAAAAATCTTTGGTCAGGTCAACACTAGACAATAGCTTCTTGTACCTGCAAAAAAGACCATTTATATCACATATGAGAAAAGCTTAAAGCAAATAAAAGTTTCAAATATTATCAAACATAAGATCACTTCTGGATAAAGAGGCACAAGTGAACAATTAAAAAATCACACAAGCAATCAATTTCAATGACTAAAACAAACAGTGGATAAATTACAATCTAGAACTTAAAGCAGACGGTAATGGTTAAAAAAACTAGTCAAGTGTCTGTGGAGACAGCAAGAATTATTACAGCTTAGATAAGTTAAATACCCAAGTCATTTACTTGCCTTGATTTAGATATTAGAGTCAATTTCTCAGATTCAACAACTACATGACAAGGAAAATAACGCGCAAAAGACAAGATATGGCGTGTCCTACATGCTGTTGCTTCTTCTTCTAAAGCCAATACCATTGCAACACACACTAAAAAACCTAATTGCCCTCTTACAAGATAAAAGAATTTCTGAACTTCATTTGATGACATTTTGAGCATCTCACCGACACTCTATACTAGTCATTGTGTATCCTAGATTTGAGCTAAGCCATTCTTCCCCAGTCCGCTTATCAGATACCTCTTGGTGCAGCTTCAAATCAACTAAGCCATGTCTCTAATCCTCCTCTGCAGCTTGGGGGACTATTATATATACGTGAAAAAAGACTAACAAATGATCTCCAACAGCACAAAACTCTTCATGGATTTGGACCACAAAAATCAATATAAAGCAATTCTTGTAACCATTTTAGTTCCTCAAAATTGTATGCATAGAGTATACGGATGAAACAAAAACATTCATACTTCGAAGGGAAACATCAAAAGGTAGGAAACCAGTCTAAAAGAGAGAAATCAAAGTTACCGTAGCTCTGTTTTTGAATGAGCAATGTCAGTTTGAACTGTCGTGTGCGGAATGGTAATGATTTGGCTTTCATCTATACTATATATTGCATGTCCACATATACATCCAATCTGTCGCCGTTTTCTAACCAGCACCAAATAATATGACTCCAGGAACTTTATACAACCTAAAAAAATCAGCAAGGTTAAGCACTAGATAACATGTGCATTGCAAAAGATTGCTGCACTGGAGTTTCTCATATACTCCCTCTGGCCGAGAAAATAGTCCACATAGTAATTTGTAAATTGTACTATCATTTAACAATACGGCCTTTTTTGTGGGGACAGAGGGAGTTCATTTTTGTGAACTTACCAGCAATGCCATAGACTTTGGCCACGAAAGACAATCCACCTGTGGCTCGGTTTCCCTCATCTATCCTATGCAACAAGTTATTGACTTCTTGTGATGTGTATACCACAGGATCTTCACTGATATTGAGATCAGAGGGCTCCATTCTATCAATCTTTAGAACCCTAAAGGCCCTCTTGTTCTTATCACTTCCGATCAAGTAATATCTCTGAGAAAAGTGCAAAAACAAACTTCAGAATGCATGATAAAAACTTCATTTTTCGAAGGACGACTAAAACTAAATAAGTAGCAACAAGAAAACAATTAAACAAAAAAAAAAAAATCAGAATCCAATTCAAAAAAGAAAAAAAAAAAAAACTATTTTTCACAAACTAATAGTTTCATAAATAATTTCGCAACCGCTGATGACTTAATTTCATGTAAATGAATCATCCCCATAACCGAGAAAACGAAAGAACCACCACCCCCAGCATCAACGTGATCATTTAAAGTAACACTACTTCTAACAACGTAATCAACAACAAAACAAAGTAAACGTAATCTTAAAACTATCATTGACATTATTACGAAAAGGACCAAAAACAAAGTAAACGGAATTTTAAAACCAAACTTACAGCTCGGGTTTCGTAGAGGCGAAATTTCTCGAGAGAGTACGAACTCTGATCGATTTCAAGATCATTACTGGGAATGATGGGATGAATCTTAGAGGGATTGGGTATAGGGGCTTTTTTCGCATTTTCAGACTTCGCCATGGCGAAATTCAACTTTCCGGAGCTAATGTAAGAATTAAAAACTCGAAAATTCCTCGATTCGACATATGCACAAGTTAATGTAGCTAAATTCTTGAATTGGCACTCCACATCAAATCAAATTCACATTTTTGTTATATACGTTAATATTTTGGCTTTTCCATTTTGGTTTATAATTTTTCTCTTTTTTGACATTATCTTAACAGTTTGACTATATTAAGATTATAAGTTAATAAAGGTATTTTTGGAATAAAAAATATTTATTGTTAAAAAAATCTTATATTGAATAATATAATATTAAATTGATAAAAAAAATCAAATCAAATTAAATTAATAAAATATTATTTTTTAAAATTTTTTTTAAAAAAAAATCTTATTTTTCACTTTTTAATCCATTTTTCTTAAACCATGGCGTCCACTGTATAATTTCCGTCTTATATATTATTACTAGTTTATATCCGTGCATTATCCGGATTAACATGTCGTTCTTCTTTAAATATCAGGCAACAATGTATCGCAATTATGAAACTTTCAGTGTTGACGCAGCAAAAAACGGAATATAGTATATAATGTTGGGGCATAGCGATAAAATGAATAAAAACCGGAAAAACTAATGAACATTTATATCATTTGGAGTGTTTCTTAATTTTTTGTCCGATTACATATGAGTACTTTTAGAGCCTGTCTGGATTTCACATTAAAAAAATACAAGATATAGTTTTACATGAGCAAAGACCGAACATGAAAAAAATAGGTTCACCTATGTATGGAATGAATATTTTTAGCCCGATACTTGATCCGTGTATAATAGTTGCCTGAATGACGTGGTCACCGAACTCATCTACCTGAAGTCTGGCACCGTTGCACAGACCGCTTAGCTAGTCTAGATTCGAAAAACATGATCAATACTCCGTTTTTCAACGTCAACTTATGATTCGACATACCATAATATTTTATTTCGTTAAGAAATTCAGGATATACTAAATCACTTTTACTGTTGACAGACTTTTCACCTTATTCAAGATTATCAAAACTATAATAAATTTTGGTCTCTCTAGTAAGTAATGAAAGTATATGGACATTAAAAACATTCAAAACGATACATTGCACTAATTAAATACTACTAGATAATTACATAAGATTCAAAGTTTACATAATTTAAGACCTAAGTTATACTATATCTAAATATTTGGTTAATGATAAAAAATAAATTATTAAAATTCTATGAAAACACTTTTCTTCTTTTGAGATTAGCAAGTTAAAATACAAAAAATATATCTTTCAATAATACACAATACTGCTGTAAAATGAATGGCAAAATATATATTAAATGTGAGCATGCATTAAACAAGGAATACTATTAAGTATAGTACTTTGATTTTGATGTAAACCTACTTATTATATATTTACAAAATTGCCATTAGGTGATGACTATAAATAGGAGGCTTATGTAGTGGTAAAATTGCACCAAAAATATACATGAGTAAATTTCCTCCTACTTTGCTTCTTACCCTATTTCTTCTTTCAAAATTATTAATCACCTTCTCTCTCTCCCTTTAAGCATTATAATTATTTCATAACATTTCGATTATTATAAAGTTATTATATTAAAGTCTCTAGTAGAGAAATATAAATTAAATATATCATCTCCTAAATAAATAATTTACTAGAACCTTTGCTTGGAATATTGTGCTGGACATTAGTTTTCGAACACGTTATCAACACGAACGCTCAACTGTCAGCAAAGGTAAAATTTCTCTATTTAATCTTAATTTTATTATGGATGGATTTTTCCCCATATAATCATTTATGTTTATTGTTATTGTGGGATGGATTTTCCGCCAACATAACTATTTAATTCTTATTTAATTTTGTCGTGGATGGATTTTTCTCCATATAATCATTTATGTTTATTGTTATTGTGGGATGGATTTTCCGCCTACATAACTATTTAATTCTTATTTAATTTTGTTGTGGATAGACTTTTCGCCACATAATCATTTATGTCTATTGCAATTGTGGGATGGATTATCCACCTACATAGTTATTAATTTTACTGTGGATGGATTTTCACCCCGCATAGTTATTCTTACTGTGGATCGATTTTTACCTCACACAATTATTTATTTTTATTGCTAATGTGGAAAGGTTTTCACCCCACGAAATTATTTATTGCTACTGTGGTTGGAATTTTACCCCACGTAAGTATTCATTTTTATTCTTGCAAGGAAGTTTATTTTAGTCATAAATTTATCATATAATATGAAAAATTAGACTATTTGCATATTTATATTCTATAGTTTAACTCACGAAATGATTTTATTTGTTTTTCTATATTTTCAAACTGCTTAATTAATTTATTTTTCAAAAGTAGTTTTTCACAACGGTTATATACGTATAGTATACGTACATATATAACGGCTATATTCAACAAAAATTAACGGACACATAACGACTAAATTCTAAATTTTTTTCTATAAATACCTCATTTCTAAATCTCATTTATACACATTCATAATATTCTCCTTCTTTCTCTTCTTAATTTCTTAAAGAAAAATACATGTCTTTCCTTTTTCTCTTTTGCATATTATTTGTTTGTATACATACTTTTTTTTGTTTTTAGTTTAGAAGGCATAGATTTTACTTTCCATTTGGGGGTACTTATAATATGTATTTTACCCATGTTGTTAATTGCTATATTTATTGAAAATTGTTAGTTTTATTTATTGATTTATGAAATAAAATGTTAATTATGTTCTCTTTTGTTTTCTAGAGAACTATGTGTTCGAACTTGTCAAAGCTTGAATTCAATGCTCTCAGTTACACTGGAGACAACTACATGTCCTGGAAAACTTGACTTGTCAGTGTATCTTGAATCATTGGGTCTTCTGAAAACGATAACCGAAGATGATGCAACTGTCCAGGAAAAGGCAAGGGCATTGATCTTTATTCGAAAACATCTTGATGATTTTCTTAAAAGTGAATGTCTATCAGTCAAAGATCCCAAAACTTTATGGAAGGATCTTGAAGAAAGATTTGATCACCAACTTGAGGTGATGCTTCCAACCGCCAAAGAAGAATGGAATGCATTACGCTTCCAGGACTTCAAAAAGGTTACTGACTATCATTCGGCACTGTTCCGAATAGTCTCTCAGTTGAGATACTGTGGAGAAACAGTCACTGATGCACACATGATTGAGAAAACATTATCCACATTTCATGCTTCTAGTATTGTTCTGCAACACCAATACAGATTAATGAATGTTAAAAGGTATCATGAACTAATTTCTAAACTTATGGTTGCTGAAAAGAATAATGAAATATTGATGAGAAACCATCAATCTCGTCCTACGGGGTCAATAGCATTTCCCGAAGCAAATGCTGTTGGGATAAGTAATTTTGGAAAATACAATAACCGTGGACGAAGTGAAAATCGTGGCCGTGGTCATGACCGTGGCCGTGGCCGTGGAAATGGAAGAAACTATAATTTTGGCTGTAATCATGCAAAAGGTTACGTTTCACAAGAAACACAGGCCCAGTTCCAGAAAAAGAAAGTGAATAAAGGAAATATTCCTGATAAGCAGAAGAAGGCTGAGACCAAATATTTCCGATGTGGTAGTACAGGACATTGGGCACGTGTTTGCCGAACACCACCACATCTTTGCCAACTCTACAAGGAATCAAAGGGAAAAGAGAAGGAAGCAAACCTTATTGAACAAGTGGATAATGCTACAAACTTGAGTGCATTGGATTTCAGTGAAGACTTTGCTGATAATTAGGGGCAAATAGTTGCCCCACCAGTATGAAGTGAAAATTATGTATGGGTCTTAATGTTGTAATAATAATGGATCGGTGTATGATCCTTGTGTCTAAGTGCGTAATATTTATGTTGTAATAATAATGGATTAGTGTATGATCCTTGTGTCTAAGTGTATGGTATCAATGTATGAGTGTATGTCTGAATGAGTAGTCTTGATGTTGTATGGTCTTATAATGTTATGAATCAATGTATGTCATTATGTTTTTTTAAGAGTATGAACTTGATAATTGTGATAATATTTATGTTTTGATTTGTGACTTTTAATTTTAATGTTCTCTAATTGATAATAACTATTGATTGTTTTTTCGTTCGAAGTTTTGACATGGAAATTCGACAAAAAGGGCATGTTGGAGATTTTTATATTGCAGACAGTGGCACTACACATACTATTCTGAAAAACAGAGAATATTTTTCAAAGTTAAAGCCAACAAAGGCGATTGTGTATACAATATCAGGTCCAACAGATTTGATTAAAGGGATTGGTAAAGCCAATGTCACATTGCCAAAAGGAATACAAATTGTGATTAATGAAGCCCTGTTTTCACCAAATTCAACAAGAAATTTGTTGAGTTTTGATGATATATATCGAAATGGGTATGACACCCAATCAATGACTGTTGACAATGTGAAATATTTGAATATCATTATTTTTGAATCGGGAAAGGCAAGAATATTGGAGAGATTGCCACTTTCTAATGGTTTGCATTATACATATATAAATGTGATTGAATCACATATGGCAATGAAAGAAAAATTCTTCGATCATTTTGTAATGAATTTGTGGCATGAAAGATTAGGCCACCCGGGATCTATAATGATACGAAGAATTATTGAAAATACACATGGTCACCCCTTAAAGGGACAAAGGATCCCCCGGAGGAATGGAATTCCATGTGAAGCTTGTTCTCTTGGAAAATTGATAATGAGACCATCACCATTAAAGATTCAAAATGAATCACCTACGTTTCTTGAAAGAATCCAAGGTGATATATGTGGACCGATACATCCACCATGTGGACCATTCAGATATTTTATGGTATTAATAGATGCATCTAGTAGGTGGTCACATGTGTGTTTACTGTCAACCCGGAATGTTGCATTTGCAAAATTTCTTGCGCAAATTATAAAATTACGAGCTCAATTTCCTGATTATGCAATCAAAAGGGTTAGACTTGACAACGCTGGTGAATTTACGTCACAAGCATTTAATGATTATTGTATGTCTATTAGAATTACTGTTGAGCACCCTGTTGCTCACGTACATACACAAAATGGTTTAGCAGAAGCATTAATTAAACGACTACAGCTCATTGCTAGACCATTAATCATGAGAACAAAACTGCCAGTTTCTGTTTGGGGCCATGGGATATTACATGCTGCT